CCATAGCTGCCATAGCTGTAGTTAGTAGTGAGTGTGTGTGTGTGCTCGAGTGTTAGAGTGATGCGTGTGGGATATCCAGGGTGATCCAGTGTATGTGAACAGTGAGATGTTTGGGCGCTGRAGTCGCCATAGCCATTTGAGAGTGAACTCGTATCTGAAGCCATATCTCTGAGTTTTGAGTGGGCGCATGTCGCCAGTGTGCTGCGTTACTGTTTACATGTGTGAAAAGTGTGTTTGAAAACGAATCTGATTGCAAATCAAGCAATCCACCAACCAACCAAATAACCAATCGATCAATTAACCGATGAAGATCGACTAAAATCAGCCAATCTTTATTCATTGATTGATCACTTGGTTGGTCGATTGATTGCTTGAGTGATTGGTGAATGGAAAAAAAAAAAACGGAAAAGAAGAAAAAAAAACGGATGGGCTGACAGAGGGGGGGTGCACGGAGGCCAGGCAGGAGGAGGAGGGAGCAAGGACGAAGCAAGGAGGAGGGAAGGAGGTGGAAGGAGGTGGAAGGAGGGAGGTGAGGAGGAGGGAGCGAGGACAAGGAGTGTAAAGCCTGCCCTCTGTGTGCCCCTCCTCTGCTCGCCTAGTTTTCTTTTTTGAATGGAAAAAAAAAAAAACGGATGGGCTGACAGAGGAGGGGTGCGCGGACGGCAGGCAGGAGGAGGACGGATCGAGGAGGAAGCAAGGAGGGAAGGAGGGAGGTGAGGAGGAGGGAGCGAGGACGAGGAGTGTAGAGCCTGCCCTCTGTGTGCCCCTCCTCTGCTCGCCTAGTTTTTTTTTTTTTCCGTTCCCTCTCCCCCCCCCAAACGTTTTTTTTTCCCCCCACAAAGGATGTGTGCTCCAGTCTATTGGTGGGCATCGGCACCTGCTGGAAAACGGGTCCAGCGTCCCTTTACATCAAAGCGGTAAATCCATCCATCCATCCATCAATCAATTAAATACAGACAGAATGGGTTGATCTCGATTGATTTGCAATGAACCCAGTCAGATAGAAAGCTCGTCAATGTCAAGCAGCAGTATGTCTCCGCGCAGATGCAATGTCTCCAAAAATTCTACAAATGTCATGTCACCAGAGAAGAGGCTGATAGGAGGGAAATAAGACTTAAGAGGGTGGAAGAGAAAATGTCCATCAGCGTAGCAGATAGATTTCCCTCACAAGCCCACTCCTCCGTCGGGCATCTCCAACTTCCACGTCAGCAGACAGTCTCCTCTGACACACTCTGACAATGCACAGACCTCTACATGGCACCTGCACAGTGCAGACAACCTCTGATCACGAACGCAGACAGGTAAGCTTTCCACAATCTCACAGCCCTGATCCTCCTCCTCCTCGCCAGTGTCTCATCAATCTCGTAAACAGTGTGGCAAGAGCCACGTCAGTGAAGTCAAGCATCCAGCTGGAGCCACAGACAGAGAAGGCGCCAACCCAAAGCTTCAGCAGTCTTGCGTCGTTGTCGATGTCAAGCCAGTGTCGAGCCAGCGTAAAGCCAGCATCCAGCCAGCATCCAGCCAGCGTCAAGCAGCAAGTGCAAGACTGAATGTCGGTCAGCAGGGGCTGAGTCAATATGTAGTGTTGACTCCAGTTGACCAGCCTCTGGTCTCTCAGGTACGATGGCCCAGATTGTCTCGCAGCCAATGGCCTGGATCCTTACAGTTACAGATTCCCACTTGGACTTGATCCTTGACAGATACCTGCAAACACCCAAGTGTGTGTGTTTGATCGGCGGCCTGGACTCGGTCCATGTTGACTCGTGAGCCTGAATTCAACTGTCACACGTTGGGCCTCTGAATCCGGTTTTAGGCCTTGCTTCGGGTACCCCACAATAGCACGCCTTCGTTCAGGCTGTGTTCTCGACTGGGGTGTGGCTACTTCACCCCTATCTCGGCCTTAGGCCAAAATGACGACCCTTAGCCCACGACAAATGCATGATTTGAGCTGAGTTATTGCAGATTGATTCAGCGAGCAGGCACAACATGGTTCAGCCTCATCAAGAGAACTCCATCGACAATATGGACACGGAGATGCTTCAAGAAGATCAACAGGGAAGGAGTGTGGGGAGAGGTGGCATGGGATCAGAATCATCAAAAAAAGAGTTGACGGAAGTGGACATCAGGTCCAAATGACGAACAATACGGAGCCACAGACAGGCCAGAGAAGTTACTCATGGAGAGACACGGATTCATCGAAAGACATCCTCCAAGGTAAATTTGCCCACATAGAGAACAGCACTGTCAAGCGGAACAGCTGGCACAGCTCAACGGAGGGAAGTCGGTGCAATGAACCAGCAGGCTCTGCAGATCCAGAAAGAGTGGTGCAGGATGGGGGAAGGAGGGATGGAGGCAAACAGAAGGCCAGTCCGCAATAATCTACTTATTCCTCAAGACAATTGACAGTCAATCCCTTCCCAGTGGAATGCAATCAATTCTCCCAATCATCTCGTTTTCATGATGTACAAAGGACTTGACGATAGAAACTGAACCAAACTGCTGCTCCCCTCAAATAGAAAAGGCCCGCGAGAAGGGCAGCGGCCATAAGGTCATGTTTGAAGTTTCCAAACTTGAATGAAATAAGGAAAAGCAAAGGAAAGGAAACACGAAAAGGAAAGAAAGTGTCACCTTATCAACAGCAAGTTCTGAAACAAGCCGGGCGCAGCGCTGGAGAGATGCCAATCGAGTGGGTGGATGGTCAGATGGTGTCTCTGAACAATCAACCAGGGCATCACCTTGAGGACTGCCAGCTGTCACCTGCCTCCCACTGCCAAGTCCCACTTCCTCCCCTGCCAAATCTCGGCTTGGAGATTGTGAAGGACTGACTGTGACGTGAGCCCCTGTAACCCCATCAGTCATTCGATTGTCTTCTCCAAAGTCTATCGCTGACGCAGCACTATTCACATGCCTCCCGTGCACCAGCTGGGGAGGCCTTGCAGGCTGACATTTAGAAGGTTCTCCATGGGCTGCGTGAGGACTGGCGCTTGCACAGAAGCCAAGCTCTAACACGTCACCTTCAGCACCCGGAGGTGGCATGCTGACAATAACGAAGTCCCCAATTGAGTCTACCAATTCTCCTGCACAGTCATACGGCCAGGTAGTGTATGATCATTTCACATACTCAGTCATCAGTTGTTTCTTTCCAATAGCCTTCACAGAGGTTGAGTGCAATTCCATCCTCCATACACTATGATGTTCTGAATAAACACATGCAGACACGCACCCACAAACCCTCCCACCCATCCTCAAATAGCACACAGGTGCACACACCCGCCACCGCACACACACCCACACATCAACACAGGACCTGGCTGTTACTCCAGTGAAGGAAACCTGTAACTTTTGATTTCTGAGACACGGGAAACCACACCGAGATAACTGAGCACAAACTGCCATATGTGGACACTGGCTTTCCTCCTCTTTTCCAGAACAAGCGCACCCGTGGCGGCTACGCCTGTGGCTCAGACCGCGGGCCAGCGCAAAAGAGGTTGAAGAAGCATGCAGAGATTGTTGAGAGGAGAGTTTACGACCAGAGCGTCGCAACCCAATATAAGCTGTCTCTCTCTCTCTCTCTCTCTCTCTCTCTGTGTGTGTGTGTGTGTGTGTGTGTGTGTGTGTGTGTGTGTGTCTCTGTGTGTACGATGTGGCCTCAGTTATACCATGTGAGATGGCAGTTGACCATCTGTTGGCAGTGACGCACCATAGACTCCCACAGGACCACACGCGGCTATCCACCAGTAAATGCCCAAACAGCGCGTGACAGATACCGGGCAGGAAAAGCAAAACTGCCCCGTGAGCGACAGCACCTCCGCCTCCGCGCGGTTCCGCGTGACAACGCTTTTTTCTCAGCCTGGATGGGCATAGGGGAGGGGTCACCCAAGGACCGGGTCTCTCTCTCTCTCTCTCTCTCTCTCTCTCTCTCTCTCTCTCTCTTAGTACTATGTCACCTCAGTGATACCATGTGAGATGGGGGTCACACCAAAGACTGAAAATATGGCGGTATATATTTCCATGTTCTAGCAGAAGATTCACTTTCCTTCATCAGATTGGGGGAGGACTGGTGTCAAGGCGGCTGGCCTGCTATGGAGTTGTATTCGAACAATGGCGTCAATCGTCTGTCCGTAGCAACTCAACAGAGACCGGATATATAGTGGTGTATCTTTCCTCGTTCTACCGGAAGATTCATTTTCCTTTTCTTTTTGCAGATTGGGGGAGCGCTGGAGCCAGGGCGGCTAGCCCGTTATGGGATTCGAACAATCTCTGAAAATATGGCAGTGTTACCAGTGTATCTTTTGATATTCTAACGGGAGATTCATTTTGGCTTGGCAGATTGGAGGAGTACTGGAGCCGCAGTGGCCCTACTATGGTATTCGAACAATTGCTGAAAATATGGTGTACCTTTCCATGTTCTAGCAGAAGATTCATTTGCCGTTGGCAGATATCGGGAGTCCTGGGCTAGGGCAGCTGGCCTGCTATGGACTTGTATAGGAACAATCGTGTCAATCATCTGTTGCTAGTGACACACAGAAGACTGAAAATGTGGCATTGTATCTCGAGTCGATCATCTGTTCGTAGTGCCGCACGAAAGGCTGAAAGTATGGCAGTGTATCTTTCAGGAGATTCGTTTTCCTTTGGCAGGTTGGGGGGGTACTGGAGTCGGGGCGGCTGGCCTTCTGTGTAGTATTCCAACAATCCCGCAGATCGACTCTTGGTAATTCCGGGTGATCTTGATTCAACCTGTTCACAAAACACAGAACTAGCAAAAGAGACGCGTGCACAGCTGGCTGAAGAATAGTCGTTCAACAACATCACATCCTAGACAGACACCCACGGGACCACACACACCTATCCACCAGAAAACGCCCAGACCGCATGCGACAGATGCTGCGTGCCAACATTTTTTTCTGGGCCCAGCAGGGGGCCGTCATGCGAGGACTGCGATTTTTTTAAGGAAGAGATCAGTGTTGCATACCCCGACGGTCGGCGGCCCTTAACTGGTTGGCACCTACCGGTCGGGGGTGGTCGTCACCCCGCAAAAAAAAAAAGAAAAAAAAAGAAAACCTAATAACCCCACTAACACCTCCATTGTGGCTCCCAATACCCCTTTACACCCCCCCAACACCCCAAACCACACCCAACATCCGCATTACCCCCCCCAATATACCACCCCTATACCCCCTTATACTGCCCCTATACCCCCCTATACCTCCCCTCCAAACCCCTCCAAGCCCCTCCAAACCCCCCACCCCATCCCCAAAAGTTTCTCTGCGGATTTGGGCTGTTCTCACCAAGCGCAGTACAGCCCCCAACTCAGATTTGAAAAAAAAAAACAGTGGATGTTTGTTTGCTGACTGGTCGACAGACCACCGACCAGTCGGCCCCTCTGGTCGGCTGCAATACGGTCGGCGGTCGGCGTCGGCCGTCGGCAGGTACGCAACCCTGGAAGAGAGGGAAATCAGGGCCCTAACATCCTGGCTCATTTCTAATTTGTGGAGGTTCAATGCAGTTCCTTTCCCACCAGCACGGGAAGACAAATCATCAATAGCATTGACTGCTCCATAGCTAGAGCGATAACTGTTGGTGAAGCCCACACAAATAAAGCAAAACTCTCCCAGACACCGGACTCCCCCAACCGAGACACAACATGCCCAAAAAACGAGACCTAAACATTCCACTTCACCTTCTTTTTCCTTTCGCCTGTCTGAAAGGACAAAACAACCTAAACCACTTCGGAGGTACCGCTATGCTGGATTGGATCATGGCTCACCACACTGGGGGGCAGCCTACTGCTGGTTTTTCTAATAGCGCCTCTTGCACAGTCACTGTTCACAACCAATTCCCCGTTTTGTCCACTGTGCAAGGAAACACGGGTCAAAGTTGCCCTTACAGTGGAGTCTAGGGGCGTGTTTCCAGTCTGGCTCCGAGTTCTGGAGTCAAAAGTCACTGTCCAGGCGGCCAAAAGTCATCAGGGATGTCCCTCAAACCAAAATCTCTGGGGTTCTCCGGCTGCAGGACACTCCCAGGGCCTGGGGAAGTCAACCCAACAGTCGCGCACCACCTCGGCAAAGTAGACACAGAGAGTGACAAAGTCTAATATTTTCCAGAAATCAACCTCGGCCAAAGATCACACACAATCCAAAGGTCCATGCAACAGTTCCTGGAAGCATCCAGACTCGCTAGGACAAGACACAGACTGGCCGAAAGAGATCCCTGGCCGTACAGATTGACAGATATCAGCCGTTCGAGGAGGCAACCTGAGACAGACCAGACAGAGTCAACCATGCTGGGACTCATTCATTGTTGATCTCCAATTGCGCTCGAGGATTGCTACATTGCCACTTCCAGGCCAGCTGTGCTGAGGCTTGCTGAGGAGGGAGCAGCACTGAGGAGGGTACATTTGTCAATTGGAGAAGAGAGAAGGGAGCATTGTTGGAGGCTGGTTCGACTGCCACTTGTTGATGATAGGGTGGAGTGGACACTGCCGTCCGGGTCTTTTCGCCCCACACTTTTGCATGGGACCGTCGGGTTTCGCCTCTGCCTGTCGTGCACCCTTCCTGCGGAGTTCCCCAACCGAGTCTTGCGTGGGGCGTCACGTGACCCCCTTTGCCCTCATTGCAATCCAGCTCTTGAAGGCTTCAAGCGTCAGTGTGACGAGGCAGAGGCAGAGCAGCGAGGCTGGGAGAGAGGGAGAGTGAGAGCACACACACACACGCTCACTCAACTCGACACAGACTCCACACGACTCAACAACGCAGACACAGAGTGGCAAAAGTCGCAAAGTCGCAGTCTTGAATTCCCGAACACAATGTCGAAGCCAAGTCGCACTGAACACAAGCAATGACGCTGAAAACTTCCTGCCCGTACTGTGCTTGAGTCTGTATTTGAGTATTGGACTCAAGTACGGTCCTGAGGGCAAAACAGAAAATGCCTCAGGGCCAGAAACTGAATCGAAAGTCTAAGAGTGGGCGCCTGAAGCCTAAATGCCGGATGGCACCAAGTGTCTGAAATCCGAAAGTCGAAAAGGAGGAATTTGCAAAGTAGGCACCAGGATGCAGATGGCGCCAACTGTCCGAAATCAGAAAAGCAAAAACAAAGTAAAACAAAACAAGAAAATCACAAAAAATAAAACTAAAAAATACAGCAAGCTGGCGGGTGGTAATCCGCAGACCAGGGATCGAGCCCTGGCGGCGTCCGTAACACTATCCCCTCCCTCTAGAAGGCATCGTCCCAGCTGCCAAAAGTCATGAAAATAATGCTGAATTCTGTGAAGAACGGGACGGGGCCGATCACTGGGAAGCAGAAAGGGAGAGGGGTATAATGTGGGTAGCAAGGGATGGGGGAAATAGGGTTTTCCTACTGATAATGGACTACTAAGAGGGAACAGAGTTTGCCTACTAATGAACTAGAGGGTTAGGAACTGCAGGGGAATAGGGTTCTCCTACTGGTGGACTACAGGGTTGTGATCTGAGGGGGGAACAGGGTTGTTGTACCGATGCACTATTGGGCGAAAGGGTTCAGTGAGCAAAAATAAAGAAAGGAAAATTATTTTGCAGTGTTCGGGGGTTGGGGTTTCTGAGGATCTCGAAGTGGATGGGTTTGGGAGGGAAATCGCAGGCTCTGCCAAATGGTCTGGCTGAGAGTCTTGAAGAAGGTCTTGAAGTAAGTCCAGGTACAGAATGCTGATGATAAACCAGTCTTCAGCAGGCTTGCGACGTGTAGTAGTGAGGGTTCCAGCTTGAAAGAACTAGTGCAGCAGTCCAATAGATGAAGGTCCAAGTGCCAGGGTGTGTCCTGTGCACAATCCTGATGATGAAGTCTGATCCCGATGGCAGGTCGCAGACTGATCCTGATGTCCACGTCAAAAGTGCTGCTCCAGAAGTCTGCAAGTCCAGGTGCCGGCCAATGGGACAGCATGGTGGCCAAACAGCTGCTTACTCTCCTCGAACTGTGCTGCAGCAGCCCATCCAAGCTTGCCCTCAGATCTCCTTTATCGCCGGCGACGCGCAGGAGCCACAGGTGAGGCTTGGACAAGAGAGACAGAGGATGTGGCAGAGGACAGATTGGGGAACGAGACAGAGGCAAGAGTGGATCAGACAGAGAGAGGTCGCGGGGCAGGGGTTTTGCTGGGTACAGGGTGTGTCTGTGGAGCAATGAGGCGGGGTTTGTGCAGGGTATATGGGTGTTATGCGTAGTATATAGCTAGGATACAGGGTGAGCACGATCATAGGCACAAACATGGCGTTCTGGAGATTGTCGAGGGGTTCCCATGTAGATTCTTCATCTGGATATCCGGTCCATTTGACTTTGTATCCAGTGATTGGTTCCGGGTGATCGGATACTTGAGTCATTCTTCGTCCTATGATAGATTCTACCACAAATTCTGGCCCGGCAGGTAGCATGATTGGTGGGGGTCTAGGATACGGGCGGTCGGCAACTTGTGGAGGTTATTCATGGCATTCTTTCAAGTACTCGACATCGAAGACAGAGTGAACACGGCTCATGTCAGAGGGTAGTTGAAGTTGTAATTTACAGGGGATGTTTGTTCAATGACGGGGAATGGACCGAGTTACTTGTTTGAGAGTTTCTTGGACAAGCCATATTCAGGTTCAAAGCATTTGGCAGAGAGCCAGACTTTGTCCCCTATTTGGAATGTGATATCTCGTCTGCGTTTGTTGGTCTTCTTGGCTTGCTGTTGCTGGGTTCTTTCAAGAACGTCAGTGGCTTCTTTGAGGAGGCGGTTCATTGTTACAACCCATTCATTGAGAGAAGGACAGGGAGCGGATGGGTTGAGCTGCAAGGGGAGCTAGAAGTCTGAGGGCAAGCGGGGATAGTAGCCAAGGTCAAGGTAGAAATGGGGACACACCAGTGGAAGGGCAGACAGCATTGCTGTAGGCAATCTCGGCGGCGGTCAGCAACTGATCCCAGTCGTGCTGGTGTGGATGGCAATACTTCCCCAGGATCCCTTGGAGAGTATCTTTCATCTTTTCGGTCTGGCCATCAGTCTGGGGATGGAATGCACTGCTGTACTTGAGAGTTGTGCCATAGGCTTTGAACAGGTTTTCCAGAATTGGGAAAGGAAGCGGGGATCACGGTCACTGATGATGTTTTCAGGGAGACCGTGGTGGCGTGCGACATGATCGACGAAGAGTGTGGCAATGTCTTTGGCATCGTGAGAAGTGATGCAAGGGATTAAATGGGCCCGCTTGTTCAAGCGTCAGACAATGACGTAGATGCAGTCATAGCCACTGTCGGTCTTGGGGAGACCGCACAAGAAGTCAACAGAGACTGAGTGCCACCTGTGGGTGGGAATAGGCAATGACTGGAGCTTGCCAGGCTTGACCTGGTTTGAGGGTTTGACTCCTTGGTCCCGAAGCTTGTTGTAGATGGTAGAGAAATCGGGGAATGAAGAGTACCCATGAGTATAGCAGTGGTGGAGTGACGGTAGGAACTGAACAAGAGCCATGGCGGCATTGACTTTCTCAGGGGCTTGTGGTCGATTCGTCAAGAGAGGGCATCAGCGACACGGTTGCTTTTGCCTAGTGTGTAGCAGATGGTGAATGTAAATTGGGCGAGAAAATCTAGCCAACTGCTTTTGCCTAGTGTATAGCAGATGGTGAATGTAAATTGGGCGAGAAAATCTAACCAATGGGCTTGGCGGGGTGCGATATCTTTCTTGGTGAGTATGCTTGAGACGATGGTGTTGTCGATACGGATAGTGAAGTGCTGACCGTTGAGGTACGGGCGCCAGACTTTGGGAGCATGGATGACGACGAGGAATTCCTTTTCATTAGAGGGGTAGTTCATCTCCACGGGGACTCGCAAATGTGATAGGGTACTCGCTGGGTGAAGCCTCGGAGTGGATGGGGGAATCCCTGAAGGAGGGGGGGTCCAGGATGTCACGAGGAAAGTGTCGGGAGAGGACGGCTCCAATAGCAAAGTCCGAGGCATCGGTGGTAACATAGAAGTGTCGAGCGGAGTCAGTAATCTTGAGGACATGGGTTGTGGTAATGACTTGTTTGAGGAGGTCGATGGCGGCTTGACAACATTCGTTCCATGCAAAAGCCTCGTTCTTGCGGGGGAGCTCGTAGTGAAACAGTTTTCACCTTTGGCAGTAGCCGATGCAGATCCCAGGGGTCGATCCCTTGACCTCAGCTTACCTGTGTACAGTATCTGCACAGTTCCCTGGAGTTGAACCCGTGACCTGCACGATAGCCAGTGGTAAGTAGGTCG